GGGGGGGGGGGGGGGGTGGGGGTCTGTGTGGGGCCAAGCTTCAGATGTCCAGCTCAGGAAGGAAACTTCTTGCACCCTGGAGGCGGGGAGCAGGGGCTGCGGCGCCAGGCCGCGTGCCCCGCCCCCCGCCCCGCCTCCGGGTAGGCTCCACGCCTGTCCCATCCTGGAGGGGAAGACCGGAGCCCACCCCTGCCGGAGAACGCCGACCGCCGACCGCCTTCCCGGCGCCCACTCAGAAAAGAAGACACTGCAAAGACCTGGAGCTGTAATTCGCAGTGCTCACGAGCCTTTAATTCATTAGGAACCTAGAGGCAGGGGAATTAGGCAAAAATACAGCGCGCATCCTTAATCTCAGGTGGGAAAAAAAACAGGGTGGGTGGGTTTGTTTTTTGCTTTCGCACACAGACACGGATGTATCTTCGTGGGGGAAGTGTGCGTTCCCCTTTGCTGTGAGACCACCTGTCTGCACGAGGTGTCTGGGAACCCACGACCGACGGACGGACGGGGTGCAACCCAGAGGGACCGGCCACGTGGGCCGGCCCACCGCCTAACCCAGGGCCGCAGGGGCGTCTGCCCGCTTCTTTTTTTTCGCTTTACAATATAAATAGTATTTTCAAACTACATATGAACACAGTGACAGCGCCCTGGGGCAGGGGGCTGCTGCATGCAGAGGAAACCCAGACATTCCGCCGACTCCCCTGGCACCTCCCGCCCCACCCGCCCCTCCAGGTCACCTGCCCCCTCCCCATCAAGGAAGTTGCTCTCCGCTTCCCTTACATGGTTCTCTCTGGCCGGGCAACCGTTAGAGCCTCTTTTTTTAAATTAAAAAAAATTCTATACAAGCAAATGACGCCCTCAATCCCTCTACAGGGGACAGCGGGGCAGCTGAGAGGCGAGGGGCTAAGAAGCACGTTTTTGCCGGGAAACTCAACCCACAACCCTTACGAGGCAGATTTCCTCTGAGCTGAAAACGATTCCCTCTCGCGCTCTCTCTCTCCTGGACACACAAATCCACGCGTCACGGAGGGGATACAGGATGTGCCACCCCCTCGGGTGCCGGGGAAGACCCCCTGCACACCTGGGCCGTAGCCGGACCCCCCGAGGGCCGCCCACCCGAGGCCTCAGCTGGGGGATGGGTCTCCCGAGGGGAAGAAGCAAAAGATGGAGCCACCAGAGGAGAGAGCGTTTATTTTGCAAAAGGCCACGCAGACAGGGGGCAGGCCACCCAGGGAGCTGCCGGTCTCCTCCCATTGGGCGCTGGCGGCGGTGCCAGCCACCTGGACCTTCTCGATCTCACGACTGGGAGAGAGTGAGTGACCAGGCGCCACCGTCCGGGATCCCTGGGTGCCCCCAGGCCTCACCGCAGCTACAGCGCATCCCCGCCACTCACAGACCAGCGAGACCAGAAAACACGACAAACGAAAAGACGAGCTGCTTTCATCTCCCGCAGCAATCTTGGTTCTGAGAAAAAGGACATTTTGTTTTGCTGTTTTTAAAGCCACAAATCTAGAAAACAACTTTGGGCTTGTTTTTCCTTTTCTTTCCTTTTTTTCTTGCTTTTTTTTTAAACAATAGGTATTTATAGAAAGAACCTCACAAAGGTGATTTATGTACAGAAGTCACAATCTCAAAGGCTGCTCAGGAGGCAGGCAATGCAGTAGCACCTTTTCGAGAAGAAGAGCTTACGTGGTTTACGAATCTGGGTTGAGGGGGTGGCGCGTGCCCCCGCCGGCCCCCCAGAGCCCACGTGGCCCTGCTCCCTGAGTCCGGGGGCGCGTGTGGCGTCCTGCTCGCTCCTGTCGCCGAGGTAGCCTCTCGGGCCACGGAGGCGAGGACAGGGATTCACAGCAAGCAAATGCCTGGGCCCGCCGTGCCTGCCTTGCTGGGCCAAGGGGTCGCCGGGCGGCCGGCTGTCCTAGAACGGGGCTCCGGGCCAGCACTGCGCCTGCAGGAGGCTCTCCATGAAGGCCGGGTAGTCTGGGTTCCGCCCCGAGTCCTCCGCGGCGCGAGGGGTGCCCACCCGCGGGCGCTTGGCGGCCTTCACCTCTTCTCCCGAGAAGACATTTTCCTGCGGGGCCCCCGTGGTGACCGACTGCAGGAGATCAGACGGCACTGGGGTTAGTGCGGATGGGGTGCTGCGGCCTTTAGGTCTGTGTCCCCCCCGAGTCCTGTGTTGAAGCCCTAGCCTGCCACAGTGTGATGGTATCAGGAGGTGATGAGGTCATGAGGGTGCAGCCCTTGCGAATGGGATCAGTGCCCTTATAAAGGGATCCCAGAGAGCTCTCTCTCGCTCTCTCTCTCCACCATGTGAGCACACCAGAAGGCAGGTGTCTGTAAGCCAGGATCCGGCCCTCACCAGGCGCCGAATCTGCTGATACCTTGATCTTGAACTTCCAGCCTCCAGGACTGTGAGAGACAGTTTGTTGTGTAAGTTCCAGTCTGTAATATTTTGTTATCACAGCTGGAACAGACTGAAATACAGGCTCCGCTCGGGGTCCTGGCTGGAGGAGATGCCTGCCCTGCTGGGGGTCAAGGGCCCTGGGCTGCTGACCCTCAGCCAATGACAATGTTCTGAGAAACAACACTCACTGGGGATGGCCCCTCCTGCCTCTGCCTAGACCCCCACCCTGTGAGTGAGCCCCCCATCGGGCAGAGGAGGGGCCCTAAGCTCCCAGTCACTGGCTCCCTAGCAGGACGGGCGCCCTGCCATCCACAGAGTTCAGGAGGCAAGGCCAGGGTACACACAGGCCACTCGTCTGCCTGGCAGCTCCTGTCCGTCCCCCAAGGGAACCTGGCATCTGAGACCCCCACCAGCTCTGACTCAGCTCTTCCACCCATGGCCACAGCCCCCAATCCTCAAAACCTTGGATTAAATACAAAAGAAAGAAGACAGTGAAAGGCTGTGAGAAGAGGCCAGTCTCCCCTGTTCCTTTGTGCATTGCTGACCTGCAGCTCAGATCCATGTGCAGGCGCTTCTGTCTCCTCCTCGCCGGCCGGGCTGACCCTCCCGCCCCAGAACAGGCAAAGGCTGAGGCAGGAGGTCAAGGCCACCTGGACGGGTCACTCTCCCAGGCAGCAGCGCTCACCCCCACACCCAGCCACTTACCAGCCGGGACCGGACCCTCTTGGGGAGCTCCTCGTCCAGGGTGAAGATGTCACCACGCTTCACCGTCAGCTGGGACCCATCCTCGAACTCCACCTGCCAAGGGGACACAGTTCAGCTTGCTGGCTGCTCAGCCTGGCCTGGCTGAGGCCCGACACCCGCACTCTCACGGCCTGCTTGCCAGACAAGCCATGGGAAACAGCACAGGGTCAGCAGCTGTCATCTTTCTCGCTGGGATACGGGTGGTTTCTCTTCAATGATTCCACCCTTTTCAATAATTTCTTTTCCACAATCATGGTGAGAAACTCACAACCAACTTGGTTTTTAAAAAAAAACAAGAGCACTGAATTGTACGCTTAAAAACTGGTTAAAACAGTAAATTTTATGTTATGTATGTTCTAACACACACACACACCGGGAAGACACCTCCAAAGGGGATAATATTGGACAGTTGGACAACCTTCCAGCTTGTGCTGACCTTCTCAGTTAGTGGGCAAACGCCATCATCCCCAGCAGGACCTCGTCGAGGGCCCCGCCCCAGCCCATCCCTGTACCTGGGAGACAGGATCCCCTCACCTGGTAGATGTGACTGGTCACAGAGGAAATGAACTTGGCCCTGTAGATGTTGCCATCAGTCCACCGGAGCTCAACAAACTCGCCCTCAGGCGGGGGACCCAGCCGGGCACAGTCTCTACTCTGTGGAAGGGCGGGGGGTAAGGGGCGCCCTCGGCCTTGGTCACCGCGCTCGCCTGGGCTAAGAAAGGCCCCATTTGGTAGATTTTGCCACCAGGAGGAAGGCAGTGCTCTCAGCTTGAACTATCAAGGGGAGCTGTGGGCAGGTGCCCAGGCCGGGGGTGCCGTGGCCATCCCAGCCCTGGGGAATCGCCCGCCTGCAGGTGTATCTAGACTGGCCTGGCTCTCTGCCGTTTCTACAGAAACAGGTGGCGCTTTCTAGCAGGGGCCCTACAGCCTGGGCCTGCCCATCAGGGACAATGGTGACCCTGGATGCAGGGGACCCCTGTGAGGGATCCAGCTACCTCCCTTCCTAAGGGCAACACTTGCCCTGCGCCTGTGCCCGCCCCTCGCCCCACCCACCGCCCCTGGCCCCGCCCCCTTTGGCCCTGCGCTGCTCACGGTGATGCTCTCTGGGTACAGGTTATCGCTGTAAGACCCGTCGTCAAAGTTCACTTCGTAAAAGGTCTGCGTGGTGGTGCCGATAACGCGGCACCGGTAGTAAAGCCCGTTGCGGTTCTTGGTGATGACCACCTGCCCTAAGGACACGGCCCTCAGGATGTGGACCTGGAGGCGGAGGGGGTGTCAGAACACAGCGGGGCGGGTGGGCGGACAGGGAAACAGGGCAGAGGGCAGGAGGGCACTCACAGTGTGACCCCCCGACTTGTGCTTGAAGCAGGTGATGGAGACAACGTAGGGCCAGTCGTCTGGCTCCATGAGGACGCCAGCGGCGTGGGCGCAGGTCACGTGGAAGGAGGTGGAGCAGTGCTCGCAGGAGCACTGGATGCAGGCGCCCGACACCTTCTTTATCCGCTTCCGGCAGTACACACATTTCTGCGGGGACACGGCAGTGGGAATGGGGCTCTGGCCGGTGCCTCTACCCCCCGCCCCCGCCCCCGCCCCCTGGGGCTGGGAGGCCTCCTGCCCGGCCCCCAGGTCTGTCTCCTGGGAGTGACTCTGAGACCCAGGGCTGGAGTGCGGAGGCCCGGCAGCCGGCCTTGAGTGGAGGCATCCTGGGAGAGTCTTGACCGTGATGTAGAGCCCCCCACAAACCACCCCAGGCCCACCAACCCCGCCTGCAGCTGCCCCCCAGGAGCACTTCCAAGACTGGAACAGGCACCAGCAATCACACAGTGAAACATGATTCATCATTGAAAAGGAGAGAGGCACTGACACTCGCTACAACGTGGATGGACCCTGAGAACACGATGCTCAGTGAGAGAAGCCAGACACAGGAGGACACACAGTGTGTGATTCCATTGATGGGAAACGTCCAGAACAGGCAGACAGATCCACAGAGACAGCCAGTGCGTTAGGGGTTGTCAGGGGCTGAGGGAGGGAGATGGCAGTCACCCAATAGGGAGGGGGTTTCGTTCTGGGGTGATGGAATGTTCTGGAACTAGGTAGAGGTGATGGTTGCCTAACTCTGTGAATGTAGTAAAAGGAAAATGTTCTCTTTAAAATGGGGGATTTTTTTTTTTTTTAAGAAAATAAATAAATAAATAAAATGGGAGATTTTATCTTAATTTTGAATGAAAGACGCTGCAGTGTAGCCCTTCGTAAGGAGGGGCAGAGGGCCCACACCGTGGGAACGCCCTGCCCGGGTGACCTGCTCTGCTGGGCATCAGCTCCCAGGCCGCGGATGCTGCACCTACGCCCACGCCCTGCGACCACTCAGCCACCACCAGCCCGTCACTCTGGGCATTTAATAAGTGGGCCTTTACCGCTTTGTAAACCGCATTCAAAAGCCAGAGAAGCCCCACAGCAAAGGCGCTGCAGGAGTGCTGCCCGGCACCAATCGATGGCAATGATATCTCATTATTAAACCGTCGATGCCTGATTCTCCAGCCGGCCCGCGGGGACAGGTGCAGAAGCACAACACGGCCCTTGAGGACTGTGCTCTGCGTGGCTCCACAGGGAGCGGAAGGTGGAGCACAGCTGCCCTGGCGACCGGGCCGCGACCCCACAGCCGAGGCCCGGGAGAAACCTGACAGCCAGGCCTGACACGCAGCTCGTTCAATCCAGCCTCCGGTGGCAGCTCGTTATTTCGAGTTTCCACGTCACGAGGAATACAGGCCAGGCCCCCATCGGGCCATTTATCAAGGGCTGAGCTCAGGGCTGCCTTAAGGGTGAGTCCCGTGTCTGGGACTCCCTCACTGGAGGCAGTGAGGCGGGGGTGGGGATGGGGGGTGGTACAGGGTGGGGTGTGGACATTGGTGGAGAACAGTGGCCAGGAGGAGGCCAAGGGCTACGGCTGGGTGTGCCATCAGCCATGGAGGCCGCAAGGCACCATGCCCTATGTCTCCGGCCTTCCCTCTTCCCCACCGGCCCCTGCCGTCATCCCTCACCACCTGCCTGCCAGCCCACCCTCCCTCCCATCAGGATGTGACACCGGCCTCTACACCTCAAGGCAGGGCCAACGAGAGGGCAGAGCTGGTTCAAGGCACCCGCCCCGGCAGCCTCGCAACCTGAACTGGCCTGGTGAGGGGGTGAGCACGAGGCTCAGGCCGCCGGCAGGCTGGGGCCAGCCCCGCTCACCAGGACCAGAGGCCAGGGAGTCACGGGGACAGAAAGTTGGGCAGGTGACCAGGTGTGACCGTCCCCGAGCCTGCGGCCTGCACATGGCCCCAGGAAGGCAGGCGGGCGGCCGGGCACGCAGGAGTTAACCACTGGCTTCCTTGCGAGGCTCCATTAGGCAATACAAGCGAGCCTCGTGTAAAAAGATTTTTAATTCATCGTTACAAGTGCTGGTAATGAAGAGGCTGCAAGCTGGAAATGTCAGATGATCCATAAAGCGTCTGGGAGGGAGGAGGATCTATTACGGCAGAGCGCACCGCACCATCACTCCACCTGAATAATGAGGCCTTTTCTGCCCGTGCTCCTGGAGGAATCACCCGCAGGCACCAGCCTCTTCCTAACGCCCGTCCTCGCTGGGCGGGGCTGGCGCTGGCCCCAGTGCCCCCTGTTTCCTGACCAAGCCCCGTCCGTCCCCTCCCACACGGCTCCAGCTGGCTGCCCACTCAGCCCTGCCCAGGGGCCCCGCACCTGTGGGCTCCGCGGTCGGTGTCTCTGTGCCTTCACTGGGACTCCCCGCTGGGTTCAGTGCCCGCAGCCCCATTTCTTTGCCTCCTGCCCACTAGAGGCCTGGAGGAGCGTCACTAGCCAGGCCTGCCCCAGGCAGCTGGGAAATAAACCAGGCAGGAAAAGCAGCCAGGATGCTGTCCATACCCCTGGGCCAAGGACCCAGCTCCCAGATGCCACAAGACACATCCCATCACCCACATGTCCCCCACACGGCCACCTGCAAACTCACAGGTGAGGATGACCTGAGAGCACATGCTGGTGCTCAGATGGCATGATCAGCGCTTTCTGTTGTGGCCCAGTTGATGCTCCCCACACGGGGGACTGTTAGCAGCCCCATTTTACGGAGGGGAAGGCTGAGGCACAGAGAGGTCAAGGAATCTGTCCAGAGTCACACAACTGGCTGGTGGCCAAGCTGGGAAGGGAAGCCAGTGTTTGCTCACTGTCTGCCTACTGCCCACTGAGCCAAAGGCTCTCCCAGATGGGGGAGGGGTGTGTGTGTTACCAGCAAGAGCAGGAGGCGTGAGCCTTGCAAGACCACACCTGCCCAAGGATGGCCGTGCTCCTTAGAGGGGCCAGTGATGGTACTCCTACAACTTAGGAGCAAAAAAGCCACCAGCCCAGTTCAAAAATGGGCAAAGGACTTGAACAGACGTTTCCCTAAAGAAAACATATAGAGGGGTCTTCCCTGGTGGCGCAGTGGTTAAGAATCCGCCTGCCAGTGCAGGGGACACGGCTTCGAGCGCTGTCCGGGAAGATCTCACATGCCACGGAGCAACTAAGCCTGTACACCACAACTACTGAGCCTGCCCTCTAGAGCCCGTGAGCCACAACTACTGAGCTCGCATGCCACAACTACTGACGCCCACACACCTAGAGCCCGTGCTCCGCAAGGAGAAGCCCATGCACCACAATGAAGAGCAGCCCCTGCTTGCTGCAGCTAGAGAAAGCCTGTGTGCAGCAACGAAGACCCAACGCAGCCAAAAATAAATTAATTAATTTTTTTTAAAAAAGAAAGAAAACATACAGATGACCAACAGGTACACGAACAGATATCAACATCACTTAATCATCAGGGAAATGCAAATCAAAACCACCTGTTAGAACATCTATCATCAAGAAGACAAGAGGTATTGTTGAGGACAGAAAGAAAAGGGAACCCACATGCACTGTTGGTGGGAATGTAAATTGGTGTAGCTGCTATGAAGAACAGTATGGTGGTTCCTCAAACAATTAAAAATAGAACTACCATATCATCTGGCAATTTCATTCCTGAGTTTTTGTCTGAAGGAAACAAAATCACTATCTTGAAAAGACACCTGCACCCCCATGTTCACTGCAGCATCGTTTACAATAGCCAAGACCTGGAAGCAACCTAAGTGTCCCTCGACAGAAAATGGATAAAGAAGATGTGGTGTAGAAATACAATGGAATATTACTCAGCTACGAAAAAGAAGAAAATCCTGCCATTTGCAGCAATATGAATGGATGTTGAGAACCTTATGTTCAGTGAAAAAAGCCAGACACAGAAGGACCCATGCTGCACGATTCCACTTCCACAAGGCATAGGAAACAAACTCACAGAAGCAGAGAGCAGAGTGACGGTCGCAAGGGTGGGGGAGGGGAAATAGAGAGCTGCCATTTAACGTGTGAGAAGTTTCAGTTAGGCATGATGAAGACATTCTAGAGCCCTGCTCGATGACCACTGTAACTGGATTGGGTACTTAAAATTCTGTTTGGCGGCATATCGCAGGTTAGGCAAGAGAGAACTGGGCAGAGTGTGGGTGGCTTCCCCTGTGTGAAAAGCTCGAAACAGAGGCGGGGAGGGGAGCCCTGCTTTTCTCCGGGTACCCCCATGGCTATTCAAAGAGTAACTGCTGGCCAAACTGAAATTGTGACTTCTGTTTCCCTGGCAGCCACCCTGCATCCCTGGGGCATAGGGACTCTCCAGGGCCCCTACCAGCTTCCACCGCTGCTCGGGGATGGCGCTGATGTCCACGGGGTGGCGCTCCATCACGTTCAGGAACCGCACTTCCGGGACGGCGATGGCGCAGATGACGTGGATCCACCTGGGGGGCGGGGGGGGGCGG